TAGTATTTCTTCGTATAAATTATAACCAGAAGTTTATAATTAGAAACAAAACCACAAATTCTTTATTTATGACACATTTCAATACAATATAAGAAAAGACTTATTTCCCAAATCAAGCATTACTTCAATACTGAATCTACACATAGAGTGAGATTTGTATTAAGAAATGAATCTTAAGTGTAGTTTGAATTTGATTGTATTGGTGGTCATCATTATTAGTGTAGTTTGTGGTCATAAAAGTGAAGGTATTTTTAGTATTAAAGATTTGTTTAAACTAATAGAAAATAATTCTTTGCAAACAATTAAGAGCTCAGTCCTGAAGAAGTGACTCCAGATGTTGATTACATGGAAAACATGGCAACTGAAGATCCCACGTCTACACCAGTGATTACTACAGAAAGTGATGCTAACTTCACCACAGAATCTGATGACTCCAAGAGATAATTATAATTAAATAATAGTTAAGAATAAATGTTATTTCTCTTAATTTATTCATTTATGGTATTGGACTCCAAAAAATAACATTTTCTAATTTATTTTCTCTTTAGTTATGCCTATATTGTAATTAATAATTAACTGTAATGCCGTAATTAATGGCATCGGATCCGCACTTTGTCTTCACTTCAATGCACTCATCCATCAGTGAATCCAATCGTGGGATCACTTGACTCTCGAAGACCGCCGATTCACTCAAATACTGACCGCAAGACTCGAGAAGTGCTTCCAATTGAGACACCATTTCCTCCATTGTCTGCATTGTCTTCGCACTCGTGTCCACTCTCTTGACCTCCTCGTCAGCACTGGTGTCGACCACTGCCTCCACTGCCTCACCGGTGCTCTCATGGTGTGGACCAGTGTTGTGGTGATAGTCTTGTGGCGAATCCATCGATGGCTTCAATGACTGAATGACTGAACGACTGAATGAAGTGTTCGTCAAATGAATGCAAAACAAAGCAATCAATGAATGAATGATTGAATGAATGAATGAATGACTCATTCAGTGAACCACTGATGAGCTAATCATTCGAATGCAGAAGCATTCAGTGTTTGTGTGATTGTAATGAACGCATGGAATGAGTGTAAGTGTGGACCCAAACAGCGGTCTATAGTTTGTGTGAACTCTCGACACAACAGTCACTCACTTAACGGCAATTCATAGCAAACCTTGTCTTCAGTGTCGACCACAATGTCATCGCCGATGGAAGCGTTGGAACCGATGGAAGCCATGAGCGAAGTGTTGGGCCAAAAGGGACACCAATTCGTGGACGAGTTGTCGGGAAAGCGCCTCAAAGACAAGGAGTGGTTGTGTGAGATGGAGGTGCGGCTGAAGGCATCTGTGGACGCGTTGGTCGACTCCTTTGAGGCCCAACTGAAGCACAGTTACGCCGACGAGACACAAGTGGACGCACGGGTCACACGAGTGGAACACCTGCTCAACGATATCGCCGCCATTAAGGATCACTTCGACGCCATCCGAGAGCGCCTCCAGTCGTGCCATCACTTGATCGACGAAGAGCCCGAAGAGCCCACCACTCAGTGACACAAACGCACAGTCAGTCCATCGCCGAGTCCTATGTCTTGGTCTCGTCGCAGATGTCTATAGTTTTGGCGTATTTTCGCATAAATTCTGTATTTCTATGAATTAATTGTCTTTTAGTTTTGCGTTTAATTTAATGCCAATTAAGACACCATTTGTCTCATTATTATATCACTTATTCATTTGATTCACATTTGTTTCGTACAAAACACTATAATATTGTATTTAAGACCAACTTTTTGTATAGAATATAAGTTTTGTTTAAAATATTTGTTAATTATAGTTATTTTGAACTTATTGTGAGTTTAAAACTAGAATTTTCTATGTATTTCACAAAAGTGTTAAGAATTGTATTAAAAGTATAGGTTTTATTAATAACACTAATTATCAGTCAATTAATATTTGCATTAAAAGTAATTTTATTAACACATCAATACATTTTCATTGAGTTTTCAGTTATGCTATAATTGCAATCATTTCTTGTCATCACTTTTGATGACATGCTTCTCGTGTTTGTGGTGTTTGTCTGGCCTTTCATTGTACTGGACGTCCATCTTATTGGATGAGTTGTGGTAATCATCCTCGAAGTCGGTGACAGTGGGCTCAGGTATGCGTCGTGTGCCACCGGTTGGCTCGACAGTTGTGGTCCAGTAGTCGTCCCTATTATAGTGCTGTTCATTCATGTCATAATGACTGCCATTACGAGTGCCATTATACATCATGGTCACATTATGTCCATTATATGTGTTATTTGTGCCATAATTTGTATAATTATAGTTATAGCCATATGTACTGTTCATAGGACTGATGGCAGTGGGATGTGGTGTGGGACTGCCTTTCCTCTTACGTTTCCTGCGTTTCCTCTTGGGTTTTCTGGTGGTCGACGTGTCCTCCTCTCCCTGTCCTCCCTGTCCCTCATTTTCATGATTATCAATGTGGACGTGGATTTGGACATTATTAACGTTTTCTCTTTTGTGGCGAATGTGATCCACTACTCCATTATCTGTCCTCTCGTGTGACACTTCATTGGTTTCTTAATTCATATCAAAATTAGTCTTTTTATAAATAACTTTACGTTATATACAAAGTCATAGCCATTAGTAACGGCTCATTAAGTTTACCTGAAAGCCCAGAATTTTTAGCCAAAACTGAATTGTAATTAATTAGCAAAACATTTACCGCAATGAATACCACAACTGAGTAATACATTATCTTTCAAACTATTTTCTAATTGTATTTGTATATCATTTTAAATATGATTCAGACTTCTTTACAATTATATAAAAATATTATTATTGTAGGTTTTATTGATTTTAAAAACAGTTGCTATTGGTTTACATATAAATAATGAAGTTCTGTTGTTACTATAATATCATTACAAAAGTGATTTAAAATGGACCTAAAATTCAAGATAATTACAATTTATTTGCTAACAAATGTTCAAATATTTGCATTCATTTAATATTTCAAATATATTAACTTTAATTTTATTAGCAAGCTAAACACTGATTTATTGCAATATTGACACTAATGAGAACTTCTTGGAAATTCTCAAATGTTTAAAAGTAATTAATAATTACGGCATTACAGTTAATTATTAATTACAATATAGGCATAACTAAAGAGAAAATAAATTAGAAAATGTTATTTTTTGGAGTCCAATACCATAAATGAATAAATTAAGAGAAATAACATTTATTTTTAACTATTATTTAATTATAATTATCTCTTGGAGTCATCAGATTCTGTGGTGAAGTTAGCATCACTTTCTGAAGTAATCACTGGTGTAGACGTGGGATCTTCAGTTGCCATGTTTTCCATGTAATCGACATCTGGAGTCACTTCTTCAGGACTGAGTTCTTAATTGTTTGCAAAGAATTATTTTCTATTAGTTTAAACAAATCTTTATTACTAAAAATACCTTCACTTTTATGACCACAAACTACACTAATAATGATGACCACTAATACAATCAAATTCAAACTACACTTAAGATTCATTTCTTAATACAAATCTCACTCTATGTGTAGATTCAGTAATGAAGTAATGCTTGATTTGGGAAATAAGTCTTTTCTTATATTGTATTGAAATGTGTCATAAATAAAGAATTTGTGGTTTTGTTTCTAATTATAAACTTCTGGTTATAATTTATACGAAGAAATACTATCGATACAGGATTTGTCATAACATTTATTTTCAAATATAGTCTCAAAGAGATAACAAAAATACTTAATACAAAATATTCATTTAAAAAATAAGTTTTAACTTTACAATAAAAACATATGTTATCAGTTTTAGACATTATAAAAGGCCAATCACTTAATAATAAGTGATAATAATTATATAAAATAAACTTTGTAAACTACACAAATAGCAAATGAATTATAAAACACTTTATTAATATATAAATCTCATTAAAACTAATTCAATTACAAATCATTATAACCGGTAATTATAGTCAATAATAAGCACACAATTCACTTCACTCTACATATATCTACAAAATTAAGACTTTTCTAAGATCTTCACTTCAACTATAACTACAAATAGATGTCTTTCTGTGGATCTACTGTTTGAATGCCACGAATCCACTGATGAGACCAGTGATGGCAGTCATGGCCACGGATGCGGTCAACAGAAAGTTTTGGTCGACGCGTCCCAAGAAGACTGTCCCCAAAACGAGAGACAATGCGCTCAACGTGTAGACGATGGCCAACACGCGGGCCATACTGTAGCCAAACTGTCCCACAATGGCTGATATCTGGCCCAAGAAGCAGGACATCATCGTGAGTAAGGCATAGGATATCATAAAGCGATCCAATGATAGCATGATATAGACGTTCATAAAGAGGTTCAGTGTTGTGACCATCAGTTCAATGCCTCTCAACCACATCAACAGCACCTCATTGTCCGCACTCTTCAGTGGTCTGTCATCGCCATCGTTGGCCTCCAACTCCTTGTCGTTAATCAGCTTTTTATTCATCTTTAGCTCATGTCCTGCTCGTCACCAATAGGTTTGTCACACTTTTATCACTTCTTTGTTGTCGACCACAGACTGTCATATGATTTGTGTTTACGGTATATCTGTCAACAACCACTCATTCATACAATACGTTCACAGATATAAACATTTATTATAATTTCATTCATTCAATCATTTTTACAATTGTTTTAACATTTAATTGACATTTTATGGCTTAAATAGCATTGATTTTCACTCGTATACTATATCTACCATATATTGTTAAATACAATTTTGTGGACAAATATCTTTATTTTGTACTTTTAAAGTATTTTAAAACTTTTATATTGCTGACAAAGTTAGGTACTGTTTTGAATCAATGATTTTTGACATTCACATTAAACGATATGTTATTGGTATGACCCCCACCCCCGCCACCTTTCTTGCCATTGCACTTCTTCTTATGGTCCGTGTCTTCATCGTCATCACTGTCACCACAATTGGTGTCTCTTTTCCTTCTGATATACTTCTCATACAATTCACTGAAACTATTCTCTCGTAAAGAATTGATTCGTGACTCCAATTCATAGTCTGTTTATAGAATTGTTTAATAATGCATTCAATAAGAGAATATTCTCATGAATAAGATGTACTTACTATTGGCTTCACTTATATCAGGAATCATATAAAATGCAATTAAAATACATAAAACTAAAAATTGTTTCATTGTAATGCAGTAGTTGTAAATCAGTGGAATTAAAAAAACTTTTAATCAAAACTAAACTTGTAGATAAATTTTATATGAAAGGCTTGTAATAAACGCTGAATAAATATGCCTATTAAACATTAAATTACATCATATTATGATAGTTTCAGTTTATAAAAAGTACAGTGGTAACTTTATGCCCATTGTATTAGCATAATTAAATTATATTAATACTAATTAAAAACTACAGAAGAACGTGCCAAGGTCATCCCTTGATTTTTTTAAATTTTAAATTTGCTTTATATTAATAATAAATTGTAGGATTTGATATAGGTCTCAAATATTTGCATAACTTCTATATTGTTATCCTATAAAAATCTATATTGTTATCTATATTGTTATGTAACAGTTTCATATTTAAAAAATCTTTTATTATAGATTATGGAAATATACAGAATAATATCAAAATTTTACAATTAATTGAAATTTTATTATTGTCCTTATTTAACAAGATCTTATAACATAATAGAACATAATTAAACATGTATTTAATAAGTCATTTGCAAAACAATGGACAAAGTTTTAATTTGCATTCAAACATTGAATTAATGGTTTTCCACCTTAACATTGAAGGCAATATTGTTAGTGTGTCCGCCTTTATTACCGTTACTATTATTGTTTTTCTTGGTTCGGGTGGTTCTGGGAGTGGTGTTCCGTTCCGTGGCTCCCGAGGGTTCCGTGGATTCCGTTCCTTCAGTTTCAGGTTCAGGTGTAGGTGTGGTGTCCTGTCGTTTCACTCTAAACAGTGATTTATACAACTCATCAACACTTTGCTTATCCAAAGACATTACATGTGAGTCCACGGCATAGTCTATCCAAACATGACAATAGTTTTAGTCAATATATTTATATTAAAATTCACTTACTTTTAGCTTCGGTATCGTCCGGAATTAGACTAAAAACAAAGAAAAGAGAGAATATTACCACAAATGTATTCATTATAATCTTATCGATAGTTCAATAATTAAATAAATGAACGAAAATACAAAATAAAATCTAATAAATAGTATATCCTTTTCATAATCTGTTGAATAAATATCATTAACATAACAGAATTTAAATCTATTCTGTGCAAACATTACGTATATATTATTTTAATTTCTAAGAATTTTAAACTATTAAATATTATAATATTTATATTACAGAATATGCACAGAATGTACTTATATAAAATATTATTATGGGTCCAATAGCTCCTATTAAAAATCATAATTTCTGATAGGATATTCCGATAAGTGTATTAGAAAAAAGCTTTAATTTTAATTTTTCAATATAGCTTCAAACTTTACATGTAAGTTATAATATAATAACTTACATTTATGTAAAGTTTGAAGCAATATTGGAAGATTAAGATTAAAGCTTTTTTTCTAATACACTTATCGGAATATCCTATCAGATTTATTTTGTATTACCAGTAAACAACACAATATAGGAAATTAATAATAAGTTAATTATGAATAAATATAAAGTATTTTATAAATTGTATTTTATTTATACAGTACTTAAATATCAACATTTTAACATTGAATCTTAATAAATATAACTTATTATGAATACATTAAATGCTAAACACAGTTAAAAGACAAAGAATTTGCGAAATTTATAACATTTAGAAAAAAGCTAAACTATACACATATTACAACTACTGTCCGCAACTACATCTGCGTTGTGTACATCCATCACCACATTGTTGTCCACAGCTTCGGCACCTCTTCCTCTTACGGGGTCTTTCAGTGGTGCCATCGGTGTGTTCATGTCTATGTGTGTGAACATGTCTGTGCCGGTGGATGTGTACGTGTTGTTCAGTAAAACCCCTTCTGTTTCTAATTAAGGCAATCAATTGATGAGTACTTCCCTTTTGTATGAGCCCTATGTATGGATAAGAAGATTGATGTCGAAAAAATATATTTTAGTTATTTTTAAAGCAAATTATTATTTATGAAAATCTAAATTACATTTGGCTTCAGTTTTGTCCAAAATTAAAGTCAATGAAACTAAAAGACTCAAACAAATTATTAGACAACAATTCATTATAACTTATTATTAGAATTAATTCCAATTATATTTCAAATATATTATCTTTTAACGACAAATGAAATGATTATAAAAATTTAATCTTTTTATTAGCAATGATGAGTAAATATTTGGCGGAAACATCTATATATTATTTAATTGCAAACATTATTTTAATTTCTAAGAATTTTAATTTACCGGTTTAATTTACATTACACAATATATTTTTATTATTATAATTTTTTAAATTGCAAATGCTGTACAATAGGTATTATTTGGAATCGTAAATTATTTTGTTAGTATAACTTTACTTTTTAGATTTTGATTATTGTAATACTGCAAAAATTTAGATATTTTCTAAATAGTAAACAATTTATTTAGTCAGGGAATAATACACATTTCTTTGGATATTATACAATTAAATTAAGTTCATTCAAAAAGTAAACATTATAAATTGTTCACGTTACATTGTAATAGTGATCTTAACAGTAATCATTTATTTTTCATTTTGTATTTTCATAATATTTTATTTCTATAAAAGTCGTTAGTCTTAAAACTCATTGATTTTTAACATTTACAGTAATTCCGATTTTGTTTTTATGTCCTCCTCCTCCACCGCCACCACCATTACCACCACCACCACCACTTCCATCAGTACCGCCACCCCCACCCCCGCCTCCATTTCCACAATTTTTGCACTTGTTTTTCCTCTTACGTGGTTTTACTGTGGATGACGTATCCCCTCTACAACCACCACCACCTCCTCTTCCTCCATCCCCGCATCCATTTCCACAATTTCTGCACTTCTTCTTTCTCTTACGTGGTTTTACAGTGGATGACGAATGGCCATGATCTTGATCATCATGTTGATGTTGGTGTTCATGTTTATGAACATGCACATGTCTGTGGTGNGTATCCCCTCTACAACCACCACCACCTCCTCTTCCTCCATCCCCGCATCCATTTCCACAATTTCTGCACTTCTTCTTTCTCTTACGTGGTTTTACAGTGGATGACGAATGGCCATGATCTTGATCATCATGTTGATGTTGGTGTTCATGTTTATGAACATGCACATGTCTGTGGTGGTGGACGTGTACGTGTTCGTGAGTTGTATCGCCGTCATCATCACCCGAATGATGATCATCGCCACCATCTTCTTCAGAACCACAACTTCTATATCTCTTGCCGGCCGTCCTCTGCACCTGATTCTTGTTTTTTCTCTCATTATTAGCACCCCTTCTGTACCTAATTAAGGCAATAAATTGACCGGTTTTTTGCTTTTGTATGGTCCCGATGATTGGCACCAATTCATTGTCTGTTTGTCGCAAATATATTTTAGTAACTTTTAAAACAAATTATGATTAATAATAAATGTTAATTACTTTTTGCGTTTGCTTTATCCAAAAATAAAGTCAATGAAATAAAAGGACAAAAACAAATTAATAGAAAACAATTCATTGGAAATATATACCTTTAATATATTGTCTTTTACAGACAAATGAAAGGATTGTAAAAATCAAAGCACTTTATTAGGAATGATGAATAAATATTTAGAAATACAATTTACATATTATATAAATGTCTCTTATTGTTCAGAATTTTAAAACAATTTATTTAATCAGAGTATAATAATCAAGCGGCTTTTTCTTGATATATTATTCAATTAAGTTAATTTTAATTTATTAAAAATCAGTAAATTTAATTTATTTTTTATAATTAATTATGTTCTCAATAGTATTTAATTAATTAATTAATTATTAGAATATTTGATTTATAAAAAGATTAAAATTTTAATTAAATTAATACAAACATTATCATAGAATTTAAAATGTATTTTATTAATTATTTAATGTAAAACTTATTGATTTTTCACATTAACGGTAATCCCAATAGTATTTGAATGTCCGCCACCACCTCTGTTCCTGCCACTCCCTCCCCCATCACCATCTCCTCCAGACTGACATCTCCTCCCCCTACAGGGCTTTTTAGTCGTTGCTTCCGGTTCATCATCTTGATTATCATGATCATGGTCATTATCATGATCATTGTCATTGTCATTGTCATGGTCATGTTGGTGTTCATGTTCGTGACGGTGGATGTGTTTGTGGTGGTGGACGTGTTTATGTGTGGTATCCCCCTCCTCATCGCACTCATCATTATTTCCACTTTTCCTGTACTTCTTCTCAACGGCTTTCTCGGCCGCTCTCTCGGCCGCCCTCTCTATCGCCCTCTTATTAGAAGAGTCGGAACCCCTTCTGTTCCTAATTAACGCAATCAATTGACCGCTACTTCTCTTCTGCAGGCGCTTTATCTTTGAGACCAAACCATTGTCTGTAAATATTTGTATCATATTTTCAAATGAATTATAATTTATTCAAATATGAGTTACATTTTGCATCTGTTTTGTCCGATATTATAGTCAATGAAATGAACAGACATAAACAAATTAATATAAAACAGTTCATTTGAATTAAATGTAATGTTTTATCTCCACACAAATGAGAATAACTATAAAAATTAAATTACTTTATTAGGAAGCATGAGTAAATATTTAGCGTAAATTAAAAATTACTTTATTAAGTTAGACTTTATTATGTAACTGTATTATTCCTAGAAACTCAAACAATTTTATTTAATCAGGGTATAACAATTATATGTTAACAATTATGTAATGGTATGAAAATTAGAAAGTTGTTTTAAACTTCTAAACATTAAGTAACTTTAATTTATAATATAAAATTAATGGTAATTCTTACTCCAAAGGCACTACTTCCTACTTTAAATAAAAATTACAAAGATTATAATATTGTCTTAGTTTGTCTTGTCTAATATAATTACAAAAGATAATTTGTTTAGAAATATTAATTGAATATAATTAATGAAAGTAAAATCAATTGCGAGACATTTGTTTGATGAGTTCAATAGACTTGGAGACATCGAGTTCCAGCAGAAAGTAAGCCTTTCTATGACCCGAAAACTTTTTCCTTTCTGTACGTCCCGTGCGATCGGTTACTAACTGTCCTCGAGTTAGATGTCCGGCCAATTCTATGGCTACCGGGTATTCATTACTTAATGTTGCCATTTGTGGGAACAGACTCGTGAGCACGACCAAAATGTCACATAAAACTACACCTTTACCTGACCGACCTGTCAGTCAATTAAATAATTACTTTAATAATTCACAGGTTTGTTATATAACTACCGTAAACATGATGTTTTGTCATATTATCATATATTTTATAAATGAAATCTGATTTCTCATTGTCTTTGCGATCGCTTATAATTTCGTCAAAATCTTTCTGCAAAAACAGAAAATTTTGTAAATCATATAGAATTTAAATAATTGTGTGACAAACCCAAGGCATCCTGAGTTTGAGACTGGTATCCCAGGGTACAATAGTCAATGGGCACTGGCTATTGGCCAACACCACATGTACTGCCTCGGGATCGTTGAAGTAATTGAATTCAGTGGTGGGCCCGACATTGCCCAGCGTGTCGAGGAGGCCGCCCATCGTTACGATTTGCTTCAAATTGTTCATAAAGAGTGGATCCAATTGGTGGGCCATTGCTATGTTGGTGAGGGGACCCAGGGTTAACAGACTTATTTGTTTGGGATAGAGTTTGGCTAATCTGATGAGTGCCTGAATCGCGTGTTCGCCATCAAACTTGACCTCAATGTCGGGCATTGTGTGCACACTATTCCCGAGTCCGTCGACGCCCATAAAGCCGTCTTCAAAGCCTACCTTATCTTTCAATGGATTTTCACAGCCTTTGAATACTTTGATAACATTCTGATAGAAATTTTTGTTATAAACTTAATTATTTTGTAAAACAACTTAACATTTATAAAGTTTCAAATGTTGTATACATTGAGGTTAAACAGTCTTTGTGTTAACAATACATTTCGGACCACTTTATCGACGCAAACGTTTCCGTAAACACAAGTAATGCCTAAAATTTCAATTAATCCTCTCTTATGGCAATCAAAGGCCAACATCAAAGCCAACGCGTCGTCTATCCCACAGTCGGTGTCAATAATTACATAATTTTCCTGTTTATCCATTGCTTTAATAATTTTTCAATTGTTAAGTTTTGTCACCAAATTATGCAAAATAATATAATAAACTCTGTCAATATTAACTTCTCGTTGAATAGGAATGACTATAAAACTAAAATTTTATTATCTTGTATTCAAGTATCAGAACTTATGTCCACTAAAGTGACTACAAATCAAGTAAAAGAAGATCTAATCAAACTATCTCTTAAGTACTCCATAACTACTGTAGTTATCAATACAACAAATTATTAATGAATAGATTGCTTATAAAACTATTTCTGTTAAATTCACAATTCAAATAGTTTTATATTCAGTGGACTAAAAGTGGATTCAAACTTTGAATTTCAAAGTCTCTGTTTATTATAAAACTGTTTATTTTATTTGTACACAGAAATTGCGGTATTGTTTAAACTTTAAAGTATTGTCTCGCGTTCATAAACAATGCATTTATTAATATTAAACATTTAAACATTATCATGAATTTGTTTTTTTAATACATGAGCTTGCAAAATTATTGATTTTTACTAAATTTAAGGATATTTATGACAAATAAATTTAGAAATAAATTATTTCCTAATTAAAATATTTTAATTTTTTAAAGTTATAATTTATACAATTAATTATGTGAAAATTCTTGTAAACTATTATATTACAAAGTTTGAGATAATATGATTTAATCTTGTAATTTATATAATATTACACAAATATTTACAATATTTACTTATCAAATAATAGATTAAGTAAATGTCGTTCAGTGATAGTGCATATCTAGTTGTTAGCCATAAAATATAAAATAAAATATAAAATAGAATTTTACATAAAATTTAATTAATATGTTTATTATCACAAATAATCCCTATTTCATATAATATTACATATTGTATATAAAACAATAACTAGTACAGTAACAGTTTTAATTAATTGTATTTAATTATAAATTTTGTTATTGCGTGACTTTTGTGTCTTAAAACAACTATAATTTAAATAAGATTATTTTTAATAAATATAATATAATGTTAATCCATTCTGCTAATATAAATTGAAGTGCAGTATTTGTCTGCATGTACCTGTGTTAGTTTAGTTTAGGAAATAATAATTAGAAAATATGTATTAGAAATAATAAGCCATTAGTAGAGCTTTACTGATCATTCAGATGATTGTTTATGTCATACAAAAGTATTTTTTAAAACATATTTTTATGAGATTGTGGTTATCTTATCATTTTTAACGACAAGTCATTCGTTTTGGTAATAAAGATATTTGAAAATATATATTTTATGAGAAAATATTACATAATTTATTTTAAATTATATACCAAAATTCTTTTGTATAAAATGTTTTATAAATTTAGATTATTTACTTGAACCGTATATTAAACGATAATGGTTAATTTTTTAAAATTATATAAAATGTATACTAATCAGTTTTTATAACTACAATTTAAATACAGTAAATAAAATAACTTTAGTCAACATTGAAACCATGAACTTGATTTTTAATACATTAATTATAAATAATTAACAAATACTATTTTTAAAATAAGTTTGAAATTCAAACTTTGAATAACCTTAAAAATAATAACCAAATATGTACCTAATTATACAATTTTTTATTTAATGCTTAGTGATTTAAATAATTTTGAAAAACAAATTAATTATCAGATTAATACTGTTTTAAAAATTGAATACTAAGATATTTCAATACAATGTCAATTTTATATAACTTTTTCTTATTAATTGAAAAATAAAATTAAGTTATTGAACAGATAGTTAGTATGAAATATTTCCATTACTGCTTTCTGGAAAATTATAATTTAATTATGCCATTATATTTTGCACCTATTTTCCAGATAGTTTGTGTCAATCCTTATATGAATATCTACTGTTTATCTAAATTTTTTAATAATGTAATAATCTGTGAATCAATGTATAATAAACAATTGACAAATGACTGCTAAAACCTGCATTGACTGTTTACTTAAAAACAGACTTTTTTACTCAATTTTATTTGAATGCTACCAAATGTTTATTCTGTAAATAAAGTGAGTGATTGAAAACAATGAAATTATTAGATTCTTACTAATTTCTAAAATGAATTTATTTCAAATATCACTCGTTTTACTCAAATTGAATCTTTTAGCCACTTCTTTGTCAAAGAGTGGTAACAATTTGGGTGTAGGCATCAAATATGAGACAAACTGGGATTCACTGGACAAACGACCCCTTCCCTTGTGGTACGACGAGGCAAAAGTCGGTATTTTTATTCATTGGGGAGTATTCTCAGTGCCCGCCTATGATAAAAATCAATGAGTTTTAAGACTAACGACTTTTATAGAAATAAAATATTATGAAAATACAAAATGAAAAATAAATGATTACTGTTAAGATCACTATTACAATGTAACGTGAACAATTTATAATGTTTACTCTTTGAATGAACTTAATTTAATTGTATAATATCCAAAGAAATGTGTATTATTCCCTGATTAAATAAATTGTTTAATATTTAGAAAATATCTACATTTTTGCAGTATTACAATAATCAAAATCTAAAAAGTAAAGTTATACTAACAAAATAATTTACGATTCCAAATAATACCTATTGTACGGCATTTGCAATTTAAAAAATTATAATAATAAAATATATTGTGTAATGTTAGTACCGGTAAATTAAAATTCTTAGAAATTAAAATAATGTTTGCAATTAAATAATATATAGATGTTTCCGCCAAATATTTACTCATCATTGCTAATAAAAAGATTTAATTTTTATAATCATTTCATTTGTCGTTAAAAGATAATATATTTGAAATATAATTGGAATTAATTCTAATAATAAGTTATAATGAATTGTTTTCTAATAATTTGTTTCAGTCTTTTAGTTTCATTGACTTTAATTTTGGACAAAACTGAAGCCAAATGTAATTTACATTTTCATAAATTATAATTTGCTTTAAAAATTACTAAAATATATTTTTTCGACATCAATCTTCTTATCCATACGTAGGGCTCATACAAAAGGGAAGTACTCATCAATTGATTGCGTTAATTAGAAACAGAAGGGGTTTTACTGAACAACACGTACACATCCACCGGCACAGACATGTTCACACACATAGACATGAACACACCGATGGCACCACTGAAAGACCCCGTAAGAGGAAGAGGTGCC